AAGCATAAAAATTATGTGATTTTAATAGCAAAATTATCGCTTTGAAACAATTGCAGCTTGTACTTCAACTTCAGCTTAATCATCAATGTTGGAGAATGATTAGGGTTTCTACTCGGAACAAACTAAAATTACTTACCAACGATTGACGTCCGGATGAAAATCGTCCCTCAACACTGGATTCGTCAGCATCTAGAAATATTCGAGAAACAAAATGCATTACTAACATTTAGCGAATCTCCAAAATCTAGATGCTAATTATTTCCATTGCTAAATTAGGAAAGGCTCTTTCCTTTATGATAGACAATTAACCTAATACAATATATTGAATCGATTTCAACTTTCGTAAACGTAGAGAAGTCCTGATAGCAATGGAATATTTTAATTCCTTTGAATTATGATTTCTTGGAAAAGATTATTTTATTATTTGATAAAGTAACGAGAATTATATGTTTTGTTTCAAAAAATCGTCTCATTTATAACAGATTGCCAAGTAAACATAAGTGAAGCTGAAAATTTATTCTGCGCGTATGTCATAGGCGGAATGGAATAAACTTGCATACTACACCTGAATATTTACAATAACTGCATGCTGTAGAAGTCGAGCTAAAGTATAATCTACCATGAAAAACGATTTACTTAAAACTTTAAAATACTCTTTCTTACTTTCTTTCTGAGATGTGTTGAGGTACAAATCATTACAAATTATACGTCAATTTTTCGAATTGAAGTATTATATGTATAGTGTATCTGCTATTAACAAAAATTTAAGTTTTACTGCTCTTACATTTTGAGTTTCTGCGGAAACCTGGACCTCGTGTAGTTCCTACGGCTTGCGACTAAAGTAATTTTCATATAATTATTATCAAATATTTCGATGAAAACAAGATAAATTATTTTAAAGCGAAAACAAAATAATTATATATCGAAAGATAATTGACTATATCTGCGTTATCCAGTTTTCGCTCTACGCTAATACCTTTCCAGTCATCGATGTAGCTTGTCTCTTGCTAACCATGCGATGATATGCTTGGCGGACCTACAGTAAGAAAGTATTAAATCCAAGATTTACTATAATATACTTTATAGAACATCAAATTAAAAGAGTACTTTTCACACCTTAACGATTACTTATATAACTGTTAATACTACAACTCAAAAATACTGTGAACAGTAATCGAATGTAGTAAAAATTCTTTAATTTAGCTTTAGTATCGCTTACAACGAAATAATTGTAAGTTAAGTAAAAGAAATGCAATAATGTTAATAATATTCATTATAATACCTCAGAATTAAAAAGGCAATGGAAAACGAAAATGGATAAACCCTAATACCATTTTAATATAATAGATTTATTAATAAAGCATTATGGTGTATCCGGACTAGTTTATATCTAGCTCTTTTCAATATCATTCTATAATGATAGCTGAGATATTCCATCGTTGCTATGATATATACGATTTATTATATTTATAATGGTGAAATAAACTCTTCTTCTAGTTAATGATACTAATCTACAGTAGATTACCGTCAAACAAAACTTCTATACAAATTATAAGCAAAATTACCTGTAGGAATATTTTGTAAGATAATAGAAAAATATTATCAAATTACCTGAGTTGAATTTAGTATGACATAAACATAAGACATAACAATAGTAGCTCCTGAGATAGGAATCATTCCTAATATCCATGTCAATCCTAGCAGTGGACAAAGAATTGCTGTCGCTTTAACCATAGATCTGTTGTTTATGATAATTGCGAAAAGAAGCAATTTTAAATCTGAAGAAATGTTAACCGATTATAGAAGTGCTTGTGCTAGTAAACAATTAATGCTATAATGCAACGCATTTCATAAAAACTTTCAATGCTAACTATAACTAGATATTAGGAAATGTGAGAGAAATATTCTTACTTAATTCCAGCAAAATTTTCTATATTTTTTTGATAGACAAGCACAGTAGTAGAAGTAACTGTAATCTTGATAACTGCAACCATGATAATGGTGTTAATCTAAAATGAATTAAATTTATCAGTGGTACGATTATAAAAGAATGCTATCAACTATCACAATAGTTTGTTTTGTATTATAGTATAAATATGAAAGTTGACGTCGCGGCGTATAATCTGTGATTGCTTTCCAAACATTCATGACTTGTATGAATTCTAATGTTCATCATAACGCCAAAATGGCCATAAATCGTACTTTAAGAGTATATATTTAAATACACTATAATTTTACAGATGTTGCTATTTGATATACGCGCGCGTACCGTATTATGGTAATTATGAAAGTAACCTAAAAGCCTTATTTACCAACTTCACGTTACAATATATATTAATTACGACATTTCAAATATCTGCTAGTCGTTAGATGTAAAACTATTTTATTACTCGTTACTGTAGCTTAAGGACAAAATTTTCCCGATATTATGACTTACTGAGATTATAGCAATAACAGGACCCACGAAGGCCCAAATTAGCCCATCTTTGGTAGACAGCCAACATCTACAAAAGGTAATCTTATTAAATTAAATTATTCTCAGCTGCATTAAATATGCTGCTATAGTCATTCATTAAGGCTATGCAACCGCATTTTATATCTGTAATTACTCTCTATTAAAAAACTTAGGTAATCAGCTAAAAATTCACCAAGTGTCGTGAATACTTACCTTTCATCACCTCCATAGCCATCAAATCTTATTAATACAGAGAAACCTACAACAACTAATGGCATTCCTGTGACAAAATATACGAAAAATATAAAAGTGCGATTTACATCAGTAAACGATATCAAGAGTGAGACTTTCATATGAAAAATAAAAAATAAAAGGCAGTAATTATATTACTTTGCGAAAACGGAATGATAAATTTTCCGATTGGCAATAATAAATCTTAGATTTCATTAATAAGCTAGTAACTTAGGTAAACTAAACTTACCCCAACCAACAATATAGTAGTAATGGCTTCTAGTTTTCTGATTAAATACCGCAATTATCATGAAATATAAATGTACGCCTTCTACCAGCATCCATGAAAACGAAGCGAAACAAAAGAAATGCAGGCAAATCGCAGCAATCTTACAAAATATCTGCGTACGAATTTGAGGATAATATCGCTTTAATTAGGAAGCTTTTACGTTATTCTATGATCACCTGGCTAAGATATACATAGAACAAATAAGGTAAAATACGTATTGACGATACTTACTGGATTTATATTGGCGTTGGGACTAGCAACTAAGCATATTTGACTTAGCAAAATAGCTAGTAAAAGGTTTTTATGAATAGTAAATCTTCCGCTATTTAGCCTACAAAATATTATAACAGCTCGATTAAATTAAGATTATGAGCGATACCGCATTTTAATTGGAAGCAGATTGTTGTTCGTAGTAGATAAATACAAAAATAACATAATTCTGTATTATAACTTAAGATTACGAAATAATTTAAAATCGTAAACATATATTCTACTAGCTTTTCGTCATGGTACCTTAATAATGTAAAAATCAGCAAAGTTAAGACGATAGAAGCAATTGATATCCCTAATCCTATATACGCAACCAAATTGATTTCTTGTAAAAGCGAGCTTGCGTTATGAATATCGATCTGCAATTAACCGGAACAATAAAAAATGATGCCTTAGGCAGGTATCTTTTGGCTTAAATAACCTCAACGTACTGTATTCAATTCAAAATAAGGGTTGCTTAATACGTAAGCGATTGGAAAATTACCTCCGTAACTTGTAATAAAATTGCAAAGTGGGTTAAATGATTGCATGCACAAGTGTAGTTCCCTTTCTTTGCCAATGCTAGCCTGCAGCCATCGCTCAACCAAGAACTATGCAACAGAACAGATCGTGTAATGACAGTTTACAAGAAGAATCGTTATTAATACCATTAGAATTATTTTCAATTTTAACAGCTATTTCTATATTCATATTATCGATAGTTTCGGAGTTCTACTCATTTAAATTAGATACTGATATCGCTACTATAGGTGAAAGGAGTGCCTATCTCATATGGTAGGAGGGAAATGCTGCTTGAAATGACCGGCATTATAAATATTATAAACTTTACTTTCAATCAAATGTAATACGGCATTGTAATATCTAGAGTAGCATGTTACTATCATATTTACGGCAAGTTCGAGAATAAGGCTTATTTAACATGTTGTAATGTACAGTATATCTGTAAAGTAACTTATTATTGTGAAAGTAGACTATTAGCTATGTTTAGTATGATGTACGGTAGTGTTTTTTCTACATTTATCTTATGATGTAATTAGTAGCCCATAATTATAGACTGTAAAGATAGACTCCATGCTAGAGTACAGAGGACGATATACAGTAAGATGTTGAGCTAATAATAAGGTTACAGGTAGAAATAGAATTGTAAATCATGTATTTGAGTAGTAGGAATAATAATGTCTGCAAAAATACTGTAATCATTTTTACATTGGATTAATGATGGTTCGCAGTAAAATATTGTGACTAATAATAAGGTGAATATGTTTAAAATATGGTAGAATACTGCTATACAGATTGTAGCTGCTAAGGCTATGGAGAAAATAAAAGCAAGACATTAGATTATCTGATTATTCTTTCTAGAAGTAATTCAGTAGATGTATTCGGCTAGAGTAGAGCGGTGTGTAGCTAGTCTTTGTATTAGATCTAATAAAGTTCTAACTTTCTACAACTTTGAAATTTTCGTGATCGGATTTTACCCAATATTGTAAATAACTCTTGCTGATTTTGCTTATAATATTTTCACCGTAAAGGGTTGTAAAACTCAAGCACTGCAAGACTGCTCAATTTAAGTAAGATTTCAGAGTTGCCGATAAACTAACGATACTATTAGAATAGTTCCCGAATTTATGCAATGCCTTCCCAAAAGTCATTTTAACTCACCTAGACTCAATATTCCAGTAGACACATTTAATAGTATAACTGTAATCCATCTGCGCAAAATTCAAAATCAATCGATTACTTTAATCTTAGTAATTCTTCTATTAACTTTAGAGGCAAGACTGATAAAGTGCTTTTCTTTACCCTACCGAGTTAGTTTTATCCTTAGTAGTAAGATTGGATGTTGAAAAAGTAAAAAATTCGCTGATGCCAATGGGTGGTAAAGGATTAACTTTGCAAATGACAATATCTGACATAAGGGATTTTCTAGCAGTTTAGAACAATAGAGAGGCTGAGTTTTTAAGCATTATTTTATAGCAGTAATATCTAATAGTAAATTCCATGCTACACGCTTATCGATAATCTAATTCTGTGTTAATCATTCCATTTAAAGCTACCCTGAAAAAGAAACCTACTGTAGATTGGAGTTATCATTAAGTAGTTTATTTAGAAAGGCGTACTTTCCAGATACTATTTCAACTCGGCCGCCTAAAAAAAGAATAGCTCCTAAAATATCATTTTATTTAAAGGATATTGTGTACCGTAGCACGGTAAGAGAGAATTAAATTGTAATAAACATGCTATAATGTTGATATTTCTAAGCTCTGAAATCTTAGGAAGAATAGAAATAAGTTTCATTATATATGTACGAGTAAAGAAATAGTAGAGTCTACCTGAATTAAAAGCACCATTAGAAAGCTGAATTGCAACTTTTTCTGTTCTAGATGAATTGTAAACTACTCGGTATCCTGTCATTCGAAATTCTGTTCCATTCTGAACTTGAATAGTAAGATTAGAACCTAGCAACATCAAGTAATAAATTATCTTATTTATTTACAATCATTAACAATAAATAGTATTAGTAAAATGACTCTACATCGATAGTCTAAGGTATTCTACTAAAGCAATAAATTAACTCTTTAGCATACTTACAAGCCTCCTTGCAGTAAGATACACTAAAAGAAGCACCTACTGGTAATGTAAGTGCAATTCTATTCCCGATTTCATTTATAATATTCATCTGAGTTGTAGCCTTCAAAGCATTCTAGAATATGAATACAATTATTATTATCTTCTAGCTTTCAATAAGATATAAATTAATTCATATTAATGTACATATTTGAGAACTATATGATTCGCTTATGACTAGGAACTTTAAATTTTAAATGTACGTTAGTCGAGCAAGTTTTTAATTGATATCGAGAATAGGTTGTAATAAACGCTAGCTCTTATTTTATTACGGATTGATTTTCTGATCGTGAACGTAGTTATTTATAATATACCTTAGAAGCATCAGTACCGGTAAACTTGGCGTTTAATGTGTCCATAAAATAAATAATAGTCTAGGAAAATATAACTGCTTCATTAATGACTAAAACTCCTATCTTTTAAGCTATAATCGATTCTAGGTCATACTAACCTCCAAAATATTTCGTTTTATATCTATAGTGGTATCATTTAAGATCAATTTGTTGCTCATTATGGACAATCCGTCTATGTACGATTCAGCTTTATTTCCACTAAGTTCAGTGCTTAGATGGCGAACAGCATTAACAATGTAATTACAGTGAGCGCTATCGATCTTCTCTGCATTATAAATCTAGATCAATCGATAAAAATTATGCCAAAGTTTAATCTATAAGCAATATTAGCCTGCATGGATATTAAAATAAAACAATTGAAGTAAAATACTGATTCTAATGTCTACAATACAGAATAATATAAAAATTACAATCTAATAGCATGTCATACAAAGAAAAATCGGGCTCTTAACCGTAGGTAATAAATTTTAAGTTGTTATATTTTCCAAGCAACTTACATAATCCAAAATATTATCAATCTGAATCCCTTGCGATGCAGTTGTAGCAGAAATAGGATGAATGGAAGGTAATACAATACTTGATGTTAATAAGTTAGCACTTTCGATGCTCTGCAACATTAATTTTGAAGCATTGATATGGTGCTCAAGTGAAGATTTAATCCAACTTGGATTGTTCTTGGACGTTGATATGGAAGTTGATAATGCGGAGCTTCCTAGTACAGAATTAGGCTTGAAAAATTCAATCCAGTTATTTTTACTATAAGGCAACGTTGCTGAGACAGAAGTGATGGAGATTAAAGACGCGTTAATTGCATCATCTTCAATCATAAACGCAGGATACTCATTTTCAATTGATGAATCATCATATGCACTACTGGAGACGGCGTACTGTTTAGAACTATAAAGAGGCTCCAGTCCTATTTGTGTTTGCTGAGGAATTCCTAAATTAAATTTCTGGACGGTGCTACTTTGCATATTATCAGATGTTGTATCCCATTAAAATAATCAGACGAGAAA